GAAGGTGTATGATCTTTTCTCATCAGATTCTGTGTATAGCATCTCCCCAGACAGGGCCCTTTGCCAGACTGAAATCTCATGTGGGACACCGTTGCCTGTCAGTGCCACTTCAGAGGAGCTTTTATTTTTTGCCATAGATTGTAGTTGGTGTCAATAGCTGGCATTGCTGCACTGCTTTGTATTTGAAAAACCATCCTGGAAGTATTTTTTTTTCTCTTTAAGTTATCAGTGGTCTAAAATAGAGAAAGTTGGTGAATTTGGGAAGGGATCCCCAAATGTTCATTTTCCTTTGCATATGCCTAACAGTTTCTTTCTAGAAGACAAAGGCAGGAGATGCAGTCCCATTTCTGCATTACAGCAGGCTCCCTTTGTATGCCCTGTCGTCTAAGCAGATCCGTATTCTCGTGATCACAGACTGGAAGCAAAGCCAGGTTCCTGTCTGCTTGTTTTGGGCTAGAGTCTTCCTCAGGAAGACCTTACTTTGCAAATACCTGATTACAGCATAATGTGGTGTTTTAGAGTCAGGGAATATGCTTCAATCTGTCTCTTCTTTTGTAATCAAATTCTTATCCTATAGAAGACAGCTGTTGATACCTGGGTATGCTTTATTCTATGAATAATTCAAATCAAGATTTGATTTAAAGCTTACAGCACTTAACACCAGTCAACAGGATAATTATGTGATTGGTGCTGAGAGAAACTAGCATCTATATTAAAGGGAGAATGGATCTGGTGCTGGAAGTTAGATGAGCAGGTTAATTAGTCCTGTCTTTGCCACCAGTGACCTTCTGTGCCCTTGTGGTAAAGCTTTTGACTGTCACATTGATGCGTAGGTGTTGAAAAGGAGGTATTGTTTCAAAGAGAAGAAGCTATTGTTTCAAGAATCCCCAAAGCCTTGTAAAGTTTATCTTATTCAAGTTTGTGGTGCTTTCAGCTCTGTCAAATATTAGCAAGTGATGTTCATAATGCTAGTTGTAACGTGTTATATTTTAAGAATTTAAAACACTGACTTTTTTTGATTGAATTGCTAGAAAAAGTGGCAGGAGGGAGAAAGCTCAGAGTTTTCTTCGCTTTCTGGAAGTCCCAGAGATGATGAGGTTTTAAGCACACCAAATTTTAATGGAAAAATCCAATTCTTGCTAACCTCTGCTATCGGTCTCTGATGCTGTGGTTGTTTGTAATGGATTATGAGAACAATGTCATTGAACTGAATTCCTCTTTAATATGCCACAATTGAAAGTATGATAAGAACACTTTCACATTCCAGAAAGCTTTTTAATTGTAATAACTTTAATAAATCAAAATTAAGTTATGGATTTATATTAAAATGTGTAAAATTATGAGGTCCCCACATCACAAAGTAGTGCAAAAATCATTAGAATGACTTTGCTTTGGTGATGGATTGAGCACGAGATGAACGCTGGCCTAGTGCTGAAAAGGTGAACTCTATTCATATGATTTTTAATAAGCTTTTAAAATGGTTTCCATTTTGCTGTTCACATAATTAGAAGGGAGGGAAAGCTACTTAAACTCGTAAGTAAAGAAAACCCTTTGGGTCTTGCAATGCCTTGTCCAGTCTTGTTTCATTTGCAAACCCTTGGAATGCAAAATGCAAAGTTAAAACTTGCAGGTAGAGCTGCCATAAAATTTAAGTTAAAGGCCATGAAGGTTGTAATGGATGGAAAGAGGGGAAAAAACTGCATTCCTATTTCAAACTATTTATTTATTTTTTTACCCTGGCTTTCTATCATCTTTTCTATCTTTTTTTCTATCTTTTAGCATTTTGTACATGCGAGGAGTGTTTCCATTCTATAAGGTACTGTTCCTGAATGTGTGTTTAGACCAAGAAACCAAAACGATTGGTGTTTGTTACCCATTTTACATCCCTGTTGCCAGGGTCCTGTGCCCTCACACTGAGACGTTTACACATGTATAATTAGGATATTTTCCAGCAAACCAGCAATGTAGCAGGTTGAGCGCTATTAGTGAAATGAAACTCCTAAGTGCATTTGGAACAACACTGATTACCAGACTAAATAATCCAGAACAAATGGCTAGAGTTTTGAAAGGCTAACAAATAGAGATGGCTAATAAACCCAAGCCTTTTGGAGTATTTGGAGCAGTTGTCTAGTTTTTTCTTTCCAAGTTATTCATGCAAACCTAGCAAAAGTAGGATTGCTGTAACATAGTGCTTTGCATACTAGAGACAATGATTTAGATGCTATCGGTGAAGTGTTGGTAGGAAGCCACAACCCTAATTTGTATAAAATTTGCACATTTCCATGAAGGCACCCTGAGCTTGCCAGTCTCTGCAAAGAGATGTTTGTTAAAGGAACATGTCAAAAGATACAGTACCAGAGTGCTTCCCACCTAGCTTTAACTCAGCACCAGTAACACTGTTCTGTAAATAGAGAAAAATCGTATCTGCTACTGGAAATGAATTTAATATAAAAGCTTTGAAAACAACTCTTCGCTGCTCACCAGGTCCTGACGGGGGAGTTCCTTTCATCTAGCATTGCTCCCACTCCAGCACCTTGCAGTGGCCTCCTGGGTTGCAACAAAATCCATGTAGAGCCCCTTTTGGATCTCTGAGCAAATTTTCTTTCCACCAATTCTAGCACTTGGTGGTGTTGTTCTCCTGCCCCTCTCCCAGCTTGCTGTGACCCTCACCCTCTCCCCATCCCATGTGAATTTGGGAAGCATATTTCCATGCACTGATAAGGACCACCCTTCCTTTTCTCCTCCTGCTTTCTTCCACTTTGTCATCCATATTGCAGATGACAGGACAGAGCAACTTTCCCCCTTAGTGCCTAGCCACAGCTCTTTAATCGAGGCATATGCTTGTGGTGTGAGCAAACACTTCTGCTGTCAGTCACTGTTTCCCTCACTACAGGACTTCAATCCTAGCCAGCATGTTTGGGCAGAGCAGGCTTTATTTCATTGAAGCATCAGCTTCTTTGTGTCAAGGGCACATCAGCTTTGTGTTAGCCTAACACAGCAGCATTGCAAACAAGGGCAAATGCAGATATGGGTTTTATAGGAGGGCTAATGTTCTCAGAGGCGGCTGCTGAAGAGCACATAATGCCAAGCCATATGGCTGGAAACCTTCGTACAAAATTAATTCCATCATAATCTGGTAGGGTCTGTTTGTTGCCATTTTCCCAAGGATCTTTTTCATGTTCAAAGAATCTGTGATATTCACTGAACAACTCTGGTGTGGAGATCTGGGAAAATAAGGATACCTGCTGTTCTGAGTGCTTCCCTGTCAGATAAGTATAATCTTATAGCAGAGGGATTTTTTCATTTTGCCATTAGAGCTATCATGCCAAAACAGTGAGTAACGGCTGTGCAGAAAAGGCATGACAGTCAGTTATCTGGCCATACATACCAAGGTGAACACAGTAGGTCTTGTAATGTCTCCAGCGAGATAGTTTGGTAATGTTGAGCCTTCAATAGCCATAAACTGGAATTACTGCAGTAACTTTTCAGCACAATGCTAAAAGTCTAATGGGATGCTATGTTTTACATTTGATTTTCTCCCATATTCATCCTTCAGGCATTACTGAATTGGGACTTTTTTTAAAGGGCCCTACTTTGAACTAATTATGACAAATGTTGATATGACATCTGTTGCTCAGTTTAAATTACCTCTTAGTCTGTTGGAATTCATCTTGAAGGCATTATTGTAATGAATTATTTTTTTTTTCATGAACATTAATAAAACCTGTGGGAGATCTGAATAAAAAAGGAAATTCACCAATCCTGCCAAGAGAACAGCTTACGTGCCAGTTGCTTTTTCTTTTTCCCCCTTGTTTTTTGTTATCCTGCTTTCTGCAATATTAATACAGCTGGTTTCCAAGGTACTTAAATAGATAACAGGTTGCTAGAGTACGGAGGAATTCTCCTTGAGAAGAGAGTGAATAATTAGGATTGCTTCCTGAACAAACTGCTTCCACAACCCAAAAGCTGCTGTATTGAAATAACCAAACCTTGTGTTCTTCAGAGGAGTTTGTGCTGTTCTGTCTTTCAGATGTATTTATTTCCCACTGAATCCAAGATTAGGGAGTAATTTCTCAAGTTGCCTTTTTCTGTCGTTGGTCTGTAGCAAAGCAAAGGAGTTTATCCCTGTACTCCAGATGAAATGTCTCTCTTTGGGTGACATTGTGTGCTTTATAGCACCTGCACGATCAACTCTTTACCTAGTGTGTTTCATTCAAAATTTATAAATACGACTTAAGAAATCATGCTAAATGATGGTAATAATTCAAGCCATATGTGAAGGAAACTTCATCAGGTTTGTGAAAACTAACTGGGTGTTAATGTACATCTGTCGGAATTCTCTAGGTACAAATAGATGCGAGTTGCAGAGCAGTTGGTGGGTATTAACTTCTGGGAAGGGGAATGCTTATTATGTATAAGACTTAAGAAAATACATTTAGAGGGCAGATCAGTTAAAAGATGCTGGTAGGTTCTGAGAGAATATGGAAGTCATGCAATCCTTGTGCAGATGGCCTTGATCAAAACAAATCCTTTTTGATGCAAGGCTTGTGGAGGCTTGATGAGGGAAAGATTTTTGAAGTCCTTTTTTGCCCATATGTAGTGAAATTCCTGCAGAATGGATTTGAGGTTTGCACCTGCTATAGTGTTTGATAATGCTAGACGGCAGTATTAGCAGGTCATGATTAGGAGAAAGCATTACATGACTACAGAATAAACTAGAAAGCATTACACAAGCACAGAATAAAACGGTTACTAAGCTTGGCAGAGGAAGAAAGTGGAAAATATTACTTCTCTGCTTTTCCTGAGCTTAATACAGGTATTTCAGTAGACCTGTTTTATGGATGGATTTAAAAGCTGATGGTTATTAAAAGGTATTTTCACAGTCTATGGAGATCTTGTTTCTTCTTTTATTTTTATACTGCTGTTCATTTAGTTCTTCAAAGAGGTCATAATCAGTTTGAGCAAGTAAACCTTATAACGTTTTGCATTTCGTTCCACAGCAATACCTCAGGAGCTTTTTCTCTGCAATGCTGAACTCTCCATCGTCTCCACTGCACATTGATAAAGTGGGTCTGACTCTGTCAAAATACACCATCTGTGAATTCTCACCCTTCTTCAGGAAAGGTGTTTTTGACTATAGCAGCCACGGGACCAGCTAACTTTTGGGCCAGGACCTTTATGCCAGAGGAGCACAGTTGGAGTGGTGCCTTCACTTTTGCCATGCAAGAGAAACGAGGGGAAGAAGAAAAGGTATCTTCCTCCATACCTGGATAGTTGCATCAGAACAACTCCAGTTAAAGACATCTACACCCCAACCTGTCCCCTTTACCAGCTCACATATCAGTGCCTGCATTTTCCTGGCATGGGGTATACAGACTTTTTGTGTAAGCTGCTCTGTTAATACTGTATTCTCTTGCTGAGTTTGGATCGGCTCCTTAGCAGGAGCGCTTCCTTCCCATTTGCTCAGACAATTTGTTCTGATGGAGCGAGAGCATCTCGAGTTTACCATGGTGGTGTGTCATGCTGACAGAGGGTTTCTGAGCAGCCTTTTGGGTTTTGTCCAAGCTGTTTCTTAAAGAACACTTCCTCTTCTGTTGCCTTACAGCATACTGTCATATTGGAGGTAATGCTCATGCTCCACTGACATTTCTTTTTTCCCTCCCAGACATGTGTTTTAACTATTTGACTGTATAATTGTATAATTAAAGGGCCTGGGTAACTTGAATGTTTACAAAAATATATGCAACAGAGAGAATATGATTTAAACCCTGTAAAAGTCTTCCACACTTGGTTGTTTTGGAGCAGAACGACTCACTTGCCATTAATTAAGAAGCAGAGGAAGCAATAGTTACCGAAGAATGCGGTCAGCATCTTTTCAGATCTTCTAATTACCCAGACTGTAAGTGGATACTGTGCACTGTACAGAGCTCAGAGCTATGCATAAAGCTAATGCAAAGTGCTGTATTTCTTCTTTTTCCTGAACAATAGCATCTTCACAATAGCATAACACTGTAAACCCTGAATTTTATTTGCATTGGTTTGAAATTTACAGGATTTGACTAACAGTGCTTTAAAATTACTCAGGACTCATTCAGACTTGCACTTGTATATACAGATAAAGCTCATTTTATATTGCTGCAGATCCAAATATATATATATGTATACACACACACTGTGACTGGAACTGAATATATATGTACATGTTCATATATAATTGGTTGTATAAAAATCAGAATCAAACTACTTCCAGTTATTAAAACGCATAATAAAAGGTAAGTTTTGTGTGATGTTTGTTAGGTGTATGAAGCATTATTTCTGAGTTGCCATCATTGACTACCGGCAGGTCTTGGTAATCAACCTATTTCATGTTGTAGAAAATGATCATTAAAACCTTAAGTAACAACATGGGTGACATTTTTATTTCATAACCTAAATTACAAAAACAGTGATGTTTCCATTTAATATGATGCATAAAAATAACTGGGTTCCATTACTAAGTCTAGTCTGCTGCAATAAGCATTTCTAACTGAAATAGAGGGGTGAAAAAAAAGAAAAATATTAGAATGGATCATTTAAATTTTGAGTGTATTTTTATTATCTTGATTCATTTCAATGAAAACAAAAGTTAAGGTACAATTTCTAAACCACCAGAGCCCTATTATCAGCAGGGTAGACTTTAATGTCTTTGGGTATGTCTGACTGTATCTGACTGTCTGACTTAGGCATCCTTAGGCATCCAACCTTTAGTTGGGAGCCAGGTTTTTAAGCTAAGCATTCCAATTGTGGAATCAAGGAATGGCTTGGGTTGGAAGGAATTGTAAAGATCACCATCCACTAAACCAGGTTGCTTAAAGCCCCATCCAGCCTGGTCTTGAACACTTCCAGGGACGGGGCATACAGACTTTCTCTGGGCAACCTTTTCCAATGTCTCATCACCCTCATAGTGAAGAAATCCAAACCTGTGGATTCCCAAACTGGTTTTTCACCGTGTTTCAGCCATTTCAAGTCTCTCTCATGCACTTTTGCACTCTGTGCTTCGTCACCAACCTTGTGATCCTTATGCCCTGTACCTATTTTACACCTCTGCAATATCTCCCAGGGCCTTTCTGTGCACTTACCATCCCCCTGACTCGAGGGCCATGTCCTCCCTTCCTTCTTCACCCCAGCATTTGGCTTTGCTTGTGCTTCCCAAATCAGACAGTGAAGGTTGGATGCTTGCTGTGTTTCTATAGTGAGCTGTGTAATTGGAGTCTGATGTTGCTGCATGTTTTAATGGAAGATTAGTAACTTCACTTGGTTGTGTTATTGCCCTGATGCCCTTCAAAGGCAGGAACTGGGCATTGTATTACTAGTTTTCATATCTGACCCTAATCTCACTTCAAAACCAGAGATTCTTTCCTGTTTCTCCTTCTTCCTTGGCCCTCCTGCCTCACTGCAATTCAGTATGATAAAGACTTAATGCTTCAAGAGTTTTAAAAAATGCATTTTACATCACTGTAGAGCGTTACTTCCTGTGTGCCACTTCTATGAAAGGACCTGGCAGGCCAAGAAATGGCAAGCTGCTTTATCTGCTGCACAAACCCAGTTTCTACAGATGTCCTACCTGAAAAACAACTGATGGTGCCAAGTGCTTTCCTATGGCAAGCAGAGCAGTGCCTGACAAGCAGAACTCCATATTGCCACACAGCAAATGCTAGTCGGTGAGAAGGGTTGAGCATGCAAGACTCCCAGAGGTAAGTCCCATGCTTCGTGTCACTTTGAATTTGGAGAACTTGTTTGAGAAAAACACAACCAGAGAGTTGGGTAAAAAGTATGAATATTCGTATTTTCCACATGAACTTAAAAGAACACTTGTACTCGGTTCCTGCCTACAGTTCAAATTAATTCAGGGAGGACCAGCTGCTCTGGTGGTATAAACCTGCCAATAAGGTGACTAATTTATGTTGGCTAGTTTATCTGGCCTGCAGCGTTAAGTGTGTACATCGCAAATAACAAAGTAAAGGCCGATTAATCACTCCATTTAAAATGTCATCAAGTTAAAAGCTACAGAAATGCAAGTGTAAGCATGCAATTAGGACTACAACCCCAGGCTACCAGCTTTTCCCACCTTCTTATCTACCCATCAATGGTATCCAGGGTTTAATCAATGATTGCAAGATCAGGCTAAACTAAGAGGCATCTTTTAGTAATTCCATCAGTAAAAATGTGATGGTTCTTTATAACCTGTGGTCTTTAAACCCAGATTCCATGAGAAGCTTTCAATAGAAGCAGAGATGCATGTAGAAATTATTAGCCAGTTTCAAGATGTTCTAACTGCTCTCAAATTCTCCATAAATTTTATTTTCATAGTAGTGTCACTTCCAAAAACATTGTGAAAGTTATCTCCAGGGCTGGCACAGGTTGGTTGGTTTGTGGTTTTTTCCAAAGGGCCTCTGTAGCTGGGTGAAACCTTAACTTCTCTATCAGGTCTGTTTATACTTCAAGCGAATAGTGTATTTAAGTGCATTAGTATATGTACTGGGGCCATTGTTACCTATGCAACTGAAGTTGTGCCTCTGCCAAAGTCACCAAACTGCTTGGCTCATATCCTTGCTGACCCTACAGCAATTTTTCATCAATAAGGATGCATAGAAGCGGCCAAAAAGCACACTGGAGATGGTTCTGGGCTATTTTTCTGCATGGCCACTTGATCAAGATGCAAAAAACCTTTGAGCAAAACCTTCTTGTTGGTCTTGAGCCACTACTCCTTTAACAGGAAGTGCTTGTCCTAAGAATATGCTGCTTCTCATAGGAAAGAGATAAAGCAGCCCCAAAAGCCCTGCTGATAAATTGCTACTGGCAGTCTCTTGCTCCACAGGCTGCCTTGTCCCAAGAGCCCACAGAGTCAGTCCAAAAACTGATGCTCAGATGCTGCTGTTGGAGATATATTTCTCCAAACAGTCAGACTCAGTCTTTCCAGTTTTCCAGTGGACCTTTAAAAGCTATTGCAGACTTGTTCTTTATTGTCCATGCAACATATCCTGTATTTGAGAGTAAGAAATACATTTGTATTAGACTGTGATAAAGCTTGAAGTTTTATATGCTGACAGCTCACTGAAGCCCCAAAATTGGAAGGAATTAAGTAGTTTTAACTTAGCAAGATTCTTAGGCTGCCCTGGTTTTGTTTTCTCTGTGTTTCATTAGATCCTGGGGAAAAAAAGCCCCAAACGTTTGATAAGCTGAAGAGCAAAAATTTCTTGGCTTCCAACCCCATCAAGGGACATGGAAGATGTTCCTTTGCAGGAAAGACTTCATGAGCAATTAAGATCTATGGAGTTGCATAGGCCCTGAGATCCAGTGGAATGGATGTAATCCAAATTTATTTTCTTGGCAGATCTCTGAAGTGAATTTTTGATATACTGGAGCCTGCCACTTTTTTTGTTGTTTTATTAATTTAAGAGAGTATTATATTATAATTGGTTGCAGACCTGAATGCTGTTGGAGATGTACTTCTTTTTATAACAGCACGGTGACAACAAAGTTACTTAGGAAAGTAAAAAAAAGAAACAGGTAGGAAAGTGAGCTGTGACCTGAAAAAGGATGCCATCCTGTCTACCGCGGTTCAGTCAGTAACAGAGCTCATCCAGCTGGATGAAAATACCAGATCACAGAAGATATTGTTCTTTTGTGTTCTTGAAGATTGAGTTTTAAAACAGTTTTAAAAGGAATGTGTGTGGAGGGAAGCTTTATTAAGGGATCAGATTAGTGTTTGATAAAATGGAGGCAATTTTGGACTAGAGGGTTTAGACTCTTGTCTGGTGCATAACAAACCTTAGGAGCAAAAAATGCCAGTGGCAGCATGGAAAGCCCTGTTTGTATTTTCTTCTTTATAAATTTATTTTCTCTATAAACACTGCCACTTCTCTCCAGTGTCACGCTGACAGCTGAAGTGTCAGCTCCCCGTCGCACAGCTTGTGCGCTCACACAGAGTTTCAGCAGCATTTTTGTTGGGGCTTTTTGAGAAATTGGTTTCAGGAAAAGAAACAGGTCTAAGGAAGAAAGTCTGCAGAGTTTGTCAAAGTGCTTCTCAAGTTTCTTTTGATAGCTTCTGTCTTCTCATAGTGGTTTTGTCCGAATGGCTTGTTCTCATTCTTTGTAAGTTTTCGATTATTTCCCTTCT